TGTTTTTGTCTCGATTAATTGCAAAGGTTTCACATGTTTTATCAAGTCATATAAATAATTTTGATTCGATAATATCATTTCATTTCATCGATTAATTAAATAATTCTCTTGAATAATTTTTTTTCTAAGTCCAAATTTTGTGATTATAATTCTTTCGAATAATTTTGTTTTTCTAAGTCTTCTCAGATATTTTTTTTTCTAAGTCCAAATTTCTGATTATAATTCTTTCGAATATTTTTTTTTTCTAGTCCAAATTTTCTGATTATATTTTCTCGAATAATTTTTTTTTTCTAAGTCCAAATTTTCTGAAACCTTTTCAATTAAGACAGACGAGTTATTTATGCATGCTGTATTATCCCAAAGCCAACATTCGAATGAATGAAACCATATTGAATATTTCACAACGAGAAAATTTTATTGGGACAAAGTCGTTAAAAAATTTCAATGTGACTTCATTTCATTCGAGTGTTGGTTTTGGGAATTGGTGTGAGGGAACACTAAAAAACATAAAAAAGTTTCAACGCTGAACAGAAAAGAGAAAAATTGATCTGGGACTTAGGGGTTTTTTTTTAGGTCCTTCCCTCCCCTTCCTCCTCCTCCTCCTCCTCTTTCCCCTTTTTTTTCCTTTTTTCCGCTTTTTTCCGCTTTTTTTCACATTTTTTTTCCTTTTTTGGTGTTTTTTTCGCATGTTGTGGATTTTGGGTAGATTCTTGGGTTCGGCATGCATCTTCCGCAATGTGTCCTCTCTGCGTGTAACCTCTCGCATCATGAACCTCAGGTTGACCATCACTTGGTGTGTTCGTTTCAGGACCCTTTGCGCTCGCCAACAGCCAGCCACCAGCACTGCTCCATTTTTTCTGCTTCCGAGTTGGTCGTCGTCGCCTTCAGCTGGACTCGATCCGTCTTACCTTGTGCCTGCCTCCAGAGTGATTTCACCGAGTATGCGGTCACTTAAACCGCTCGGCTATTTAAGTTGTTGATGATAAAAGTTATTTTTATTCCTATATTGTATTAATATTGAATTTTAATAAAGAATATGTATCATACTCATCTCTCTTATTCATCATCTGCCTCTACCCCTCTCTTTCCCCAGTTTTTCCTCTACTTTTTTTTTTTTTTCTCTTTATGTATCTCTCTTACAGTCAAGTGCGAACCTTGAATTTTTCAGAAATATTCTAAGTGTCAAGGTCGAAATGCGCCACCTGAATTCAATATTTTGAACTAATACACTCTCTGTTACAGTCAAGACGGAACTTGAGTTTTCTGTTTATCAGAAATATACTAAGTGTCAAGGTCGAAATGCGCCCTCTACAACTTAATTTTTGAACTAATATTTGATGATTCCGAAAAACTAGGATTCCAATTTTTCACCCGAGTCTTTGGGAATCGATCTGAAGAACTTTTAGCCAGTCAACGTGATGTCGACGACTAAACGCTCTCGGCTATTCGATTGTTACAGAACACGAATTTTTTTTGGAAACGCTTTTGTCTAAATCAAGAAGAACTGTTAAAGTTTGACAGCTCCAAGTATTTTGTGAAGACCTTTGCATCGGGCGCTCCACTCTAGTTATTTAAATTTAATCAATCCGCCATCTGAATTTAATTTTTTGAACTAACATCTGATAGTTTCGAAAAACTTTACAACAGTTATTTTTCATCTACACACAATTAGTTCTTCTGGGATCGATCCTACACACTCCCAACTACCACGACGACCACTTAACGCTCTTGGCTATCAGACGTCTCAGATGAAACGTTTTTAATGAGAATATCTTTTGTCTATTACGAGGGTTTAAAGATTTGGTGGTTATTTGGTGGAACTTGCACACTTCTACGCATTCCAATGCAACTACATTTTATCTGTTATTTGAAGATTCGAACTACAGCGCCATTGGTCTGGACAACCGCTGTTGCTACTTAACGACCTCGGCTATTCATTTCTTAATCGGAAAGAAATTAATGGGAAAGTCTTTTGTCTAGTTTGTGGTACTGAACTTTATGAAAAATAATTATAATTCTATTCAATTCTCATGCAGAAGATTCGAACTACAGAGTACATCATCGGACAACTGCTATTAAACGACCTTGTCCACGTAGTTGTTACACAAAACATGTGTTTGAGTTCTCATAACGACTTCTATTTTGTCTTTGATATTAAATATCCAACCACAACTCATCGGTTATTTTCTTACAGCTCCATTCAAGTACACTGAAGGACACACGATCTGCTGTGGACAACTGACAAATTGAGATCACATCATCATGATTTGGATTCGAACTGGATCACCCTGGACTCGATGATATTAGCGAAGTCTTTTAGCCGATTCAGCTACCGAGATGCAAAATGGCCGTCGACTATATGGGAGGACACTGAGAATGGATTTCTGGCCAATATGGGGGTGAAAAAAGACTAGAAGAAGTAAAAGTTACCGAAGGGGTTGCAAAATGATGGCATACGATTCTTCATGACTGTACGGATTTCGAGCGGGGGGTTTCAGGGGGGAGAATTTTGTCCGTTTTTTGCTCAGAACACCCCAAATCGATGATTTTAAAATTACACATATAATTGGGGTTGTTCAACCCCTGATGTTCTCTTTTATAGTAATTAGAATGTAAATTACATGTACAGTTAGCAATTATTGAATGAATAGTTTATGAATATAATAATTAAATAGTTAAAATTGATTTTTATACAATATATAAATTAATTGAGTATGTTTGAGCTTATAAAAATTAGACCTAAAATTATTATTATTGTTATAATATGTATTAAATATATATTTGCTTAATATTTAATATTTTGTAAACTAATGTTATGTTGATTTAAATAAATATATAAATTAAAATGCATAAATTTCTTTTATTTATATTTTGTATATTTAATAAAATTTGATATATAATTAATTTGCATTTTATAAAGACTTAAATAGAGTCTATGTATATTTTTTTTCCATTTTGCCACATTTTTTAATTAAAATAATCAAACAACAAAAAATCCTCTTAAATATTTACTACACCCCCATGTATTTATTAGGCAGTGTATGGACTCCCTAATAAAATTGGTACAGTCACCTCAAAATTGACAAGAAGTCGTCTGCGCTGGCAAATATCTCTAAATATACTGATATATAACTGGTGATGGACTCCCTAAACTGCACACGTATTCTTGATTCCACCAATCACGTGTATTCAATACACGCACACATACACAATGTGTAAATCTCTGACGCTGGCGCTACTCTAAACTCGGTGGCTTCGAGCGGAACTAACGTGGGCTATGAGAATCTTATTGGAATTTATATATCGCTCATATAATTAAAGAGGCGTATATATATATATATATATATATATATATATATATATATGCATCCATACTCCATATATTTTTATATATATATACATATATATATATACATATATATATAATATATATATATATATATATATATATATATATATATATTATTTATGTTCGCTCTTAAAAATTCTATTTATTATAGTATCAACAGTATTAATTTATTAATACGTGATTGGTGGATTCAAGAATAATATTTATATATTTATAAATTTATATCATTGGCGCCACTCGAAAAAATTTTGAGTGAAATTTTGAATGAGAATCTCATAGGAACTTTTATATATTATAATTATTAATAGTTGCATATACATCTAGGCGTTTCGAATCAAATTTATAAATGGTGTGCTATGAGAATCTTATAGGAATTTTATATATTTGTATTTATTATATATATATTATTTGAAATGAATCAGAAATCTTAATTTGAAAATATTTAATTAAATTTATTAAATAAATATGTTTCAAAAATATTAAATAAAACATACCTTTCGATTTTATTCTTTGGTGCATATAAATAAAAAACTTGGTTCACTGAAAAAACATGTGTATACTTACATACATACATACATATGTATATATATATATATATATATATATATATATATATATATATATATATATATATATATATATATATACATATATGGTAATATAATTTTCACTTGTTTAAGTAAATGAAAGAAACTGATTTCAATTTAACAACATATTAAATATATTTGGTCCAGTGGAATCGTACATTATGATATACATAATTATGAGTAATTTCAATTAACAAATATTTACCTAATTATTTCATATAAAATTTATTAATACACATAAGTGATTAAATATTTATCATTCTTAAAAATACATTATGATATATTTAAATAAAATAACAATTAAAGGTATCACATTCTTAGAATTTTAAAATCATACACAATTTTCACAGTTTAAGTAGGGAAGCAATGATAGAAATATCAAAATTACCATCACATCCTTAGTTTTTATGTTTTGTAGACAATTTGTGCTAAAATTATAAATATACATCAGTGATGCTGTATTTCTTGTGTGCTAAATATCTAACCAGTTTAAAATTTTCAAACTTTGTACAAAATATTACTTTTGGTCAATTTAATAAAATATCATCAATGCTATGTAGCCAAATAGTAAAGCACAAGGTAAGGTCATAGGCAAGATAAGAGCAATATCCAGGATATGAAACAAACTATTCCATCGACATGGTAAATGATACTTATATTATAATAATATATATTTATTAAGTAAATGTTTGTTTCGATATCACACTAAAGGTAAAATTTAATGACTTAGATATAAATAATCGCAATTAGAAATATTATGAACTGGCGCACAAAGTATAAAAGACATTTAAACAGATATAAGGTCTGTAGTCACTTCCATGTCAAATGTTAAAATATAATAACTATATTAAAATAAACACTTAACTATCATACAAGTCAAATGTTGAACCTAAATTATTTATCTTTTTCTTCAATAAAAATACATTCATATTATCTTTTCCCTTAACATATACACTTCCCCTCTCTTCGAATTCATACCTCTCTTGTAAAACAGACAGACAATGCTCTCCTATTTGAATTCTTCCATTTACACCCGTGGAGTCCATTCTGCTGGCAATATTAACGGCATCGCCCCAAATGTCGTAATACAATTTAGTGTTGCCAATAACACCAGCAGTTACTTCTCCAAAATTATACCCGATACGTAAAATTAAATTAAACTCTAAAAGATCTTTATTGAAACTGTCGATTACATTTTGCATTGCGATAGCAAAATCCATCAAAGCAAATAGATGCGCGTGAGGATTTTTATCCTCTTCCCTTTGTTGGGGATTTAGTCCGCTAGCAGCCATAAAAGTACTACCAATAGTTTTAATTTTTTCTACCGATTTAAATTCTGGCTTAGTGAGTAGTTCATCGAAATCGCCTATGAGTTCATTAAGAACTCTCAAATACTCTTTGCCACCTAAATACGACTCGTCGTACATTTCATTAAAATTTACTATACTGGCAAATATAATACCCACATTATCGTGATTTGCAGAATATTTAGCAGTGTTTTTTAATTGATCAGCTACATGTTGAGGTATAATATTATGCAGTAACCAATCAGCCTGATTTTTCATATTCTGGACTTTTGCTTTATCCTGATTTGCCACAACATTACCGTGAAAACTCAACCTGTAACTAATCTCAAATTCGCGGTTAAGAAACCAAACCAATATCAATAAAAGAATAACATCAATATAAATTTCAACGTGATATAAGTTATGATTAATGTATAGTGGCAATTTTTTTATCATGTTTATTCTTTTATCGATGAGTTGCATGGTTTTATTAGTTTCCGACAGAGTACTTTCTTTTGAAGCAGGAATTTTACTAGTTAATACAGACAAGGTATCCGTATGCTTAGAGTTTATTTCACTATCAGTGATAGAGTTCGAACTGTTTAATAAATATATAGTAATATTATTCGTATTAGGATTAGGATTTGGGGGTGTCAGTCTTTTTGGTTGCAACGTCGATAACGCTTTCAGAAAATTATATTGTACACTTATATTATGTGCGTTATCAATACGCATTTGTAAATTGTTTGTCTGTATTTTTACCGGGCAATTGAAAATGGCAATTCCAATAAAGGTAATAGCTCCAATAGTCAAAACTATGTTTTTCATCCAGCAGTTTAACTGTGTAAAGTTACAAAAATGAACTATGCATATAAAGAATAAATAACTAAAATAAAACTCGTTTATGTAAATCTGAGTGTGATCCATCAAAACAAAATTTGTGAGAACCGCGACCATTGGTAAGGACAATAAAACTGCTCCACAAAAATGCCATGGGTACCATCTGGAGAATACTTCGAAAACACTATCTGTGCAGATGTATCCTCGAGTGGTAACCTCTGGTTTGCAAATATTTCGAAAACATAAAAACAAAGCAAAAAACTGTAAACTGCTGAACATCATAAACATGCAAATCCACATCTTGTGTGGCATCTGGAGCAGGAATAACGATATTGATATTAATAGGTATATCACCGCTGATACCAAAACGTCTATGGGAGTGTTAAATTTAGAAGTCGCGAGTGTAGGTGGGTTTTCGTTTTCTTTTTCACCAATTTTATGAGCTCTAGCTCGGTATTCTCTCTCCATATCTTTATCTTTAAAAAATAAACTAATATTATACAATGGTGGCTTGACGAAGTAGCTTCTTTGTGATTTAACGTTGTCTTGAACGCATCGAATTAATTGTAGATCAGACTGTTTCCTCAGAGTTTGTGCAGTGATGATATCATTTTCATGCTGGACAGAATTACGAACATCCACACTGGAAAGCGATGAAGTGTAATAGCCAGAAACCCGATGCTGCATGATGTCCGAGTGCGATAGGTTGTGCAAGTTCATGGCATATATCTGAAAATAATAGTAAATAAATTTAATTGTTCACTTTTGAGTTACATAAATCTATTAAACTAATTCTGAAACTATTTGATATAAACAACATGTAAACTATTATATATAACTAGCAAACCCGACGAACTCCGTTTCGCGAAAGATGAAGAAATTTTTTGTTTGTTTTATATTTGAAAAGAAAAAATTTGATTTTATTATACAACAGTAATGAATTTATTTCGATTACAAAAATGAAGTGTTTTTTAGTTGAATTTCTCTGAGTAAAAGAAAGTGAATCCGCAATTATCCGTTTCATTGAAGTGCTCTTTGGTAAACCACATTTTTTATATTTGGTCTGACACAAAAGACCGGACGGTTTTCCAACTCGTGAACAGGTAACGTATAACTGCCCATGTGAAAAACAATGATTTTCTAAATAATCTATTTGAAATTTATCCCGCAAACACTAAGCGATTGACCTTGCGACTTGTTTTATTTTGAACGCAAGGCAAACTGGAAATTGCAATAGTTTGAAGTCAAACGGAAGACAGTCAAATCATTGGTATGTCACCAAATCGCCAGCAATTTTTGATTGAATGGTGAAATTCGGTGCGTGTACATATTATTCTTTGCGCCAAGCATAATTATGATAATTTTCACTAATGTCATTACTCGAATTTTAAATTACGGTGCGTGAAGTTCCAGCAGCTTGCATTAAGGCACGATGCCATGCACCACTAATTTTCTTAGCTATAAGCCTTGCGGAGCCTGAGACCTTTCCAACGAATGCAAAATTGTCAAAATCGGTTTGTGCGTTCTGTAGTTATTTCGCCAGGAAGGAAAACCTAACTTATTTTTATATATATAGAAGATAATCTATTTGAACTTATTGAAAACAATTGTTGATTATTTTTATTACTCGAATTTTTAATTACGGTGCATGAAGTGCCAGCAATTTGCATTAAAGCACGATGCCATGCACCACTAATTTTCTTAGCTATAAACCTTGCGGAGCCCGAGACCTTTCCAACAAATGCAAAATTGTCGAAATCGGTTCGTGCGTTCTGGAGTTATTTCGTCAGGAAGAAAAACCCGACTTATTTTTATATATATAGAAGATTAATAATTCAACTAACAGAACTAATTTTCAATATGTTTTTCTTAGACTTTGCATTATAAGCTAAAAACCATATATAGCTAAAAGATTATGAAAGAAATATAACATATATGTTAATAGTTTAATAACTGACCTGTTGTTGTATACTGGAACGCCTGCTATTACTTCTGATACCAGAATCTTTTCGGCTGCAAACAGAAGGACTAACGCTTCGCATTTCGTCTGTAGGAACTTTGAGTGCCCATGTCCCTTGCACATGATTTGCAACATTATTTTGGATATGGTTCATAGATATATTCAACGGTTGATCCACCGGTAACGGCACTGTGGCACTCGAAGCTCTTTCCAATGCTGCTACCTTTAATATAAAAATTCAAACTTGTATTTGCCCACCTCTTAATTAATTTATTATTAATTATTACCTCTGATTTACACCGCTGGTGCTTGTAGCTGCTAGCTCTTCCAAAAGGAGTAACATCGCTACGAGATTCATTGATGTAAGATCGTATATCCAAGTTATTTTCGCGTGGTTTAACCAAATTGGTAAATTGAATTGTATCATCTGATGTTACAGTCTGAATTACTATGGGAACTTGCTGATATCCATTACTCGCCGTTGGTTTACGCAGAGATTCTGATTCTGATTTCGTATCGATTAATTCCGGTTTTCTAAGGAATTTCAAGATTTTCCAAGGGTTGCTCTGTTTATTTTTCCGGACAGTAGTCCTGTAAACTCTGTCAGCATCTTCCTCGTTATCTGAATCTAAAATACTGGGTAAACTACTTGCTTTTGTCTTAAACGGATTTTCAGGAGCTTTGAGATGAGAGTCGCCAATTTTAGCAGTTGCATTGGCAGGTCTTAATAATCTAGGAGACGCTTGCGGTGAAATATTAGGTGAATGTCCAGCGCTTATGGGTTTTGTCGTAATTTTATGCATATTTGAAGAAATATTCATGGAATATCTTTTAGTTTTTGAGTCAGTTTTGTTGCACGAATTTTGGGAAATATTTCCCGCAGATACAGGTGAAATATTAGGAGAATTTGATGGAAAGCTATAATTACTTTTCGAAACAAACGGCGTACTCAGTGTACAAGTATGTGAACTGGATAACTTATTATTTAAATCTCTTCCAAACCTATCGGCTAATGTTGGATTATTAAGTCCTTTATTAACAAAATCTATAGGCATTGAGTTTGGCGTAGATGGAGGCGATATTTTGACTTGAGTTGGTTCCAAAACTGCTGATTTGGTTTCTTCCCAATCGTGCTGAATGTAGTGGTTATCTCTTCGCCCCTTTATGAAGTAGGTCTTGTGACCTATAAATATAAGATAGTGAATGAATTTAATCGCTCATTGTGCAAATATTTTGTTGATATAACTTTTACTCACCGCAAACTTCGTCGCCTTCTTCTAGAAGATAAGAATTACCAAGAAATTCGCATGTTTTATCGGATACGTGAACTTGTTTAGGACGGCCGGTAGATTCCATTCTGCAATATAAAACGATATAATTGTTTTATGATCACTTGAGTCATTCAGAAAGTTATATAAACAAACTAGCAAACCCGACGAACTCCGTTTCGCCACCAGACGGTTTCTTGAGAAAGATGAAGAAATTTTTGTTTGTTTCATATTTGAAAAGGAAAAATTTGATTTTATTATACAACAGTAATGAATTTATTTCAATTACAAAGATGAAGTGTTTTTTAGTTAAACTTCTCTAAGTAAATGAAAGTGAATCCGCAAATTATCCGTTTCATTGAAGTGCTCTTTGGTAAATTACATTTTTTATTTTTGGTCTGACGTTAACACAAACAAAGCGGATGGTTTTACAACTCGTGAACAGGCAACGTATAAATGCCCACGTGAAAAACAATGATTTTCTAAATAATCTATTTGAAATTTATCCCGCAAACACTAAGCGATTGGCCTTGCGACTTGTTATTGCGAACGAAAGGTGAACTGGAAATTGCAATCGTTTGAAGTCAAACGGAAGACCAGTCAGAATCATTGGTATGTCACCAAATCGCCAGCAATTTTTGATTGAATGGTGAAATTCAGAGCGTGTACATCATTATTCTTTGCGGCAAGAATTGCTCGTTGACTTAACCAAGCATAATTCTGATAATTCTCATTAATGTCATTACTCGAATTTTTAATTACGGTGCGTGAAGTTCCAGCAATTTGCATTAGGGCACGATGCCATGCACAACTAATTTTCTTAGCTATAAACCTTGCGGAGCCCGACACCTTTCCAACGAATGCTAAATTGTCGAAATCGGTTCGTGCGTTCTGGAGTTAAATCGTCAGGCCGAAAAACCCGACTTATTTTTATATATATATAGAATAGAAGATAAATATCAGATTCAAAAAATGTTAACTATGAAGCCAGCAGTTGTGATCATTATACAAATAGAATAGAGCAGGGCTCGGGATTAAAAGGTTCACTACATTTATCTCAATTTTTACCAATACTGTTGAGTAGAAATTTCTCAACAGAATTTACTTTCCATTTCTTCAACATACCTGTTGGCCAATGTGACATCATTACTCCAGACGTCGAATTTGAATCGCCTCGTGCCCACGATTCCGCAGAGTACGGTGCCCGTATGGACGCCGACGCGCATGGTGACGCCCTCGTGCCTTTCGGCGTCGAACTCGGCCATCGCCACGATCATTCCGAGGCCCATTTCCACGCAGCAGACGGCGTGGTCGGGCCTCGGCTCGGGGCAACCGGAGACGCAATAGTAACAGTCACCTGGGGAAGAAGAAATTATTTAGCATTTGGGGCGTTTGAATATTGTAATTAAAAAATCATGAATTTGTTGAAAAGTTGGAAATTAAGGAAACTATAGTTGTATGGAGCATATTTTCTTAAGGGGGTATTCTAGTGTAGAGCGATGAATTTTAGGTCATTTTTAAAGTGTCGTAAAAGAAAGCAATGAATTTTTTAACTATTCATTTTTTTACAATTTGTTTATTAATATTATTAAAATACAAAACAAAAATTAAAAAATAAAAAAGTTAAAAATTGTTAAAACTGGCAACTGATGAAGTGGGTGATCTCAAAAAATTGGCACCTCAGTCTTGACATGATTTCAGCCCTCCTAGCCATCGAAAATGCAAAAAATAAAAAGATTATTAATCTACAATGATGTCGCAATCGGCTGAACTAGCGATGAGTAAAAAATTTTTTTTTCACAAATTAGCGACTGTTTGAAAACAACAATTTTTTTTACTGTTTTTTTGAGTTTCTCGAATTTTTTAAAAATAGTAAAAATAGGAATTTCGGGATGATTCTAGTTCAGACTATAGATAGATCTAAAAACAATACTCTCTGAAAATTTCAAATAAATTGGTCGAGTAGAACTCCAGAAATCGTGACAAGAGTACTGAAAAAGTCTGTTCTGAGAAAAACGCAAAGTTTTGCGTGAAGCCAAACCAGTATGGAGACCGAGTCAGTAAAATGCCTATATCTCCTTCTCGTACTTATATTCTTAGATAGTTAAACTTTGAAAATATGAAATAAAAAAAATCGATTTTTTTGAATTTCTACACTAGAATACCCCCTTAAAGCATGTTGCATTAACTTTCTGATACGTATATATAATTAACTTAATAAGAACTGAGCTTCAGTATTTAGGTAAAATGTTTAATTTAATTTAATTTTATTTGAGATCTTTACCATCTTTCGAGCAGTTTTTGAATTTTTAGAATCGTTTCAAGATTGTGGGCTAAAACATAGCCGAAAAATTTATACTTTTTTGCTAATTAGAAAGAAACGGCTTAGCCGTTCGTCGCATATAGCTGACAAACGCTTTATCGAGTAATATTCGAGCGGCTTTTAAATTTTTGAAACCTGTCCAGACATTTTTGAGGAAAAGTCCACAAAAATCTGCTAAAGTGACACACACACATACTTTTTCGAATTTGCTTCTGATTCGATTCAGAAAAGCAAATCGGATTTTTTCGAGAAAACACAAACATCTTCTTGGGAAATTTAAAAAGGATGAAATAGTTAAGCGTTGTAATGTGCATAATAATACACAAACACACACATACATAGACACACACACATACATACATATATATATATATATATATATATATGTATATATACATATAAACACACAAAAAATCAAGATTTTATTAAATCTTTATTATCGAGCGTTTAGACATATTGACCTAATGAATAGTAAACGTTGGTTTTCCACATTTTTTATATACCCTCACTTTAATTCTTTAATATATCCATGCAATCAAATTTTTCACATGTATCTAATCAAGACATAAATTGTAAATGAAGATAAATGTTATTCTATGTTGCTCTGTGAAAATATAATAGACGTTACTTTAAAAAAAATTATTCGCATGCGATATAATAAATGCAATTATGCTTGTGGTGTATATAAAATAGCATGACATAAGATTAGATGTCGAAACGTTTCGTAAAATAAAGATTCTCAAAAAATATTGATTTAATTTTGTGTAATATCTTTCAAAATTAATAAACAAAATATAAAGAAATTATTTAAATGTAAACTACGACAAGAATTAATGTAAAATGTAAAATATCATTTAATCATCTTATAGATTATAACTTGCTCATGAAAAGAACAATTTAATCTTACACAATAAGTGCTCATTAATTAGTCTGGTTCATTTAAGAATCCTTTCTCAGACGTAATTATCTTAATCGGAAAATACTTCATCGTCTTGCTTTACTCGACAAATATTACACAAAACGTGAAAGCAATTATGTGAATTGAAATACAGAAGCAATAATAATAGAATACATTGCTTGTAGGGCATCTGCTTAAAAGAAGCCGTTATTAATTGATTCTAGAAGATTCAATATAAATAACAAGTTATTTGTAGTTAATGAGTGTGATGAAAGTATGAGCGAAAGTTTAAAATTGAGAATTTATGAATAATTTAAAAAAATGTAAACAAGCCATTAATTCGATTAGCAAAAACTTTAGAAAAACATAAGTAAGTATACCAAATTGCAAAGATAAGATTATACAAAAATGTAAAGGTACGCTTGCGAAAGCTCATTTTGAAACATTATCCCACCCACTAAGATTTTTTATTAAAATATCCATCATATCAAATATTCTGTTTAAGACGTACATATATCAATTCACGATTGATATCATCAAGACGTTGCTTTTGGCATCTGACATCCTATATAATCGTTTCCATGTTCTGTAAATAGATTACAATTGTGATAGATAGTTCGATCTCAAAACTATATGCCATATGATACATTCAAAATTGATTCGGAAGATTTGGCAACTATCGTCAGAAACCATCTGGATTTAATTTAAACTTGAAAGTAGTTGAGAGGGCAATAATAATATTCTATTCAAAAATTTGACTAGAGATAATAAAATATTCAATATCGTGATTGTTTTTCTATTATTATATTATTATTGCAATTTTGATGAATTTGTGTTGTTAATAATGAATGAAAGCAAATTAATTACACCAACCGCCATCAAATATCTATGTAAATGAGCAAACATACAATAATCTCAAATTACAAATATTGCAAGACGAGGTCAATTAACATTTATGGCAAAGGTTACTGAACATATCAAATATCAGACGTTAACTAAAATCTTTAATGATAATAATCTTTACGATATCGTTTTTGTTGTTACTTCTATAATTATAATTAGCAATCAATAAATAATTATTACACACATACACACACACACACATATATATATATATATATATATATATTGAGGATTTTATACACATATATATATATATATATATTGAGGATTTTATACACATATATATATATACATATATATATATATATATGTATATATATATATATATATATATATATATATATTTAATAATGATTTTCAGCCAGTCGTCGAAAAAAGGAACAAATAAATACAAATATTTATTTATAATATACGTTTCGACACGGATTGTGTGTCATCATTCAGCAAAGTTTTTGTTAACAGTATCTAAAAAATATTTACACAGTCTTTTTTTTTTAAAAAATAAACTTAATTTCATATTTAAAATAATTAAAAGATATACACACGACACCAGAAAAAAAAACATTTTTTTTAAACATACATATAGAAAAACCAATCATACATTACATATAAAATAAATGTATAAAATAAACAATAATAAATAATGAAAAAATTTTTTTTCCTACTGTGGTATGTACGAGTATATCGTATATCTTTTAAATATTTTAAATATGAAATTAAGTTTTTTTTTTAAACTGTGTAAATATTTTTTAGATACTGTTAACAAAGAATTTGCTGAATGATGACACACAATCCGAGTCGAAACGTACATTTTAAATAAATATTTGTATTTATTTGTTTCTTTTATTTCGACGACTGGCTGAAAATCATTATTCAAGATATGTCTCAACCTCGAACAAAAAAATTTAATTATTATATATATATATATATATATATATATATATATATATATATATATATATATATTTTATTTATTTATTATAAACACACGAGTGTGTTGAAATTACGCAAATAGTTCAAAATAAGATATCAGTACCTGCTACATAACACGTTAGTCACCACGATAATATCTGAAAAAAATCTCTAGAAGCCATGGTAACTTTATTAGATTATTTAGTTAAAAATGTATCAAGAAAAATAATTGTCCAAATTTCTGAAAAAACAATATGACTGACTTAACCTTATATTAAAACTCTTTTCTATACAAACAAGCCAAGAAATTTTCAGGTCAGATATATATGCCTGACATGGCTTCTGTAGAACATCTTAGTGTCAGACACATATGACTGACATGACGATTAACGTGTTATAGATTCTTATATATAGGGCCATACATATATAATAAATCAATTTCTAACTCACCCAAAGTGGAAATCTTTTCGCAGCCATTATCCGTGCAGAGCGTATCAAATTTCTCGAATAAATCGTTAAGTAATCCGACAAGTTGTTCAGCGCTCTTATTACTGCTCATTTTCGTAAAACCCACTATATCAGCGAAGAGTATGCTCACATTTTCCATGCAATTCATATTGAAAGGACGAAAAAGTCGTTTGAGATCCGATGGATTCGAAGTCCTCGGACGCATGTTAGCATAAACCATCTGATCATTATCAATATTCCTTTCATTCATCAACCAATCGGCCACCTTTGGAGGCATTACAGAATGTATCATCTTCTCCTTAAGCTGTTTTTCCCATTCCAGTTGCTGTCGGACCAGAAGGCTTTGACCGACCTTCATAAAAGTCCCTCGCATCCGAACCAATGTCATTGTGAGTATGTGCAGACCCAAAATGTGAATGCACAATTGCATTAGTATGCGAATGAAAACTGATGTTAATTTATGTGATTCAGCGTCATTATGAAGATTTACGACAACTATTTCAAAAACAATCGAATAAAGCACGCATATTGTTATCGAAATGTACAGCGGTAGAGGTATTACTGTGTAAATAACCAGAAGTATCTCGACGCATATCGCAAAATGTCCAACTGAGCTCAATGCAAATTTTTCTGTCTGGCCCACCAGGACTGAGCTAATGGATAACAGACAAAGGCTGACCGAGCACAAAATAAAAGCGACGCTGAATGATATTTTATACATATGGGTGCGGTATAGATCATGGTATGTCAGCCATAAAGTACTGCCTATGAAGAGAATCAGCAAGGCCAGGATGACGCAAAAGAAGCCCCAGTGTTGTACATTTCCTGAGAGACCGCTGGACAAGAAGTAGAAGAACCACATGATTGTGCAGAGCAGAATGTAAAGCAGCGCACATCTGAAATAGGAAAAAAATCATAGAAAAAATAACAGTGATAATCAGATACAAAATTGGTGAAATTAAAATATAATATCTTCCTGCAGAATTAGGACGAAAATATTTGCAACGAAATTTGTCATCGAAAATTATCATTTTTTATTAACTTCCCGAAAGAGAAATTTATGTTTTCATCAAAAAATCCGATTCGATAATTTTATATTTTCTCGACGTTTCAAGCCATTCTGAATCGAATGAGACCAATTTTGGAGAAAATATGCATGTGTGTGTAAACAAATTTTTTGTTGGAAATCGACGTTTTCTCAAAAACGGCTGGACCGATTTCAAAAATTTAAAAGCCATTTGATGTAACTCAATAAAGCTATCGTGTTTCAGTTTTGTGCGACGATCTGCCGAGCCGTTTCTTTGTAATTTGGAAAAAAAAGTGTTAAACTTGTCATCCACATTTAAGCTTGTACTACCGATTTGATTTTAAAAAATCAAAAACTGTTCGATAGATATTGGTTGGAAATCGTCCTGATTAGTTTTTGGTAAAGATCGGCCGGGCCGTTTTCTTGTAATAAAGTTTAAAAAAAATAAATTTCGACGATTTTTATGATTTTTTTTTGACGGTAGATACCATAGACTTGTAGATCATACTAAAATATTACGGTCCTACGACAAGTCGTTTAATTTTTAAAATTCTTCAAAGTTTGCAAAAATTAGTATCGTTTTTTTGGCATTTGTCAAAATTAGACATTTGATCGACGTTTTCTTGAAAACGCCTGAACCGATTTCAGAAATTTAAAAGCCATTTGATGTATCTCAATGAGGACTATCGCTTATCAATTTTGTGCGGTGATCGGCCGAGCAATTCCTCTGAAATTTGGAAAATTTAAGCCGATTTTTATGAAACTTTTTTTGATTGTATATATCATGGTCTTATACAACTTATTGAAATATTACGGTCTTACGACAAGTAGTTTAATTTTAAAAATTCATCAAAGTTTGAGAAAATGATTGTTTTTTTGACGTTTGTTAAAATTAAAATTAGACGATTTACTTGGTGTAACGATAGAATACTTGGTCTTAATAAACATACTAAACCATTAAAGTCCTACGAAAATTGGTTCAATTATAAAAATTATTGATTTTTGAAAATTTGCTTTTAGAAACTACTCCGAGTTAACGTGTTCGCTCGTTTTCAATTATGTGTAATAAATTAACTCAGAATACTTTTAATCACTCATAAATTAATTTATTTTTATTAATTAAGTCAATTATTTAAACATATCATGGAATTTCATGTAACTTGCCTCAAGGCAAAATACCAATACCAACTAGTTTCTTTAAAATAATTAATATCACATCTATTTTAATATTAATCCAAATTGTAATATTGATAGTATTAAAAAATATTGTTTTTATATAAATTTAAAAACAGCAATTTCTATCAGCTTTCATGGATACTTTTTCAATTAAAAAGAAGTTTATGAAAAACATTCAATATTTTATCATCGAGTCTATGACTACACTGACAATAACCATAAGAGACTAGAAGACCTATAGGTGTATAAAGATAGCAATTACTTCGTTGAAATATAATTAAATTCAAGCACTTTACTTGGCAAGAACTCAGCTGAGTGTTTTCAATTTTGCCTTTCGCCTATCATACACAAACACTCCGTGCCAGTGAAGTTCTTTGTACAATGCACTATTTATACAAAACAAAAGCTTTCGATTTTAATTAATAATTGATTTATGGGAATAATAGAAATGATTTAGGTAATATATAACTTTATGATAATAATATAATAGATAAGCTAGGAAAATTATTTTCTATATATTTTGACTATATATAAATATAACAGCAATCAGAATTTGATGACCAATATGAGCTTTTGCCAAGATTTTGTCTATTTATGGCGTGTTTTTATTGATGGCCCAGTCCTATTTTTATGTGATAAAGTTATTGTTGCAATTTGTGTAATACTGATGATTTTTTTATTGGTGCAGTATTGCCGGAGACCACCCAAATGATTTAGATAACAAAGTGTACTTAGAAAGTCAGCACACTAGATCAAAATGCAAACTACTTGGTACACTATTTGGTATATATACTATTTTATAGTCAATATAGTCAATATTGTATTCTTTTTAGTAATCTGTGCTCATTGTTCCTGTATAAACAGATTGCATAATAAAAGTTGTATTTAAAAAAAAATATTGGTGTAAAAATATATTGCTATTTGCCACTACTCCTTCATATCATATCAGGATGCCTAGGCAGGTGCCCAACCTAGAACTTTTGAGTCAAAATTCCATAGCTCTGACCACAAGAGTTATAAAATTATTTGCAAACGAAAGATCAATTATGATAATATTCTCGCCTCCGTATTAAACGATTATAAAAAAGCTATGTATCTTCTTTCATGGCTGATAGAAAGTAGACGTTGCTAAGAATATCGCATTCATTGTGATGAGAGGAATCGTTTAAATCGAAAAATTAACTCAAGGTCATTTTGCGATACCGCTCAAGGCCTTTATGATGCTTTTGATACGTTTGTTTATATTATTACTTCCTCAATTAAATTCAATTGGATTTGTTCAATACCGGCTGATTACATGAGGCCAACGGCCTATTTGTGCGGTTTTTTGACTCGCTAATTATCATATGCAAATTGGTTGCAGAGACGACACACTTACGGTAATTTGAAAATATTTTAAATTGTATCTCGCAATTGCATTTTATCTCACAGTTAGATGAGATGCTATTGTTAAAGCTTACAATTGCATTGTACGTTTTTATTGAATAAAAATGTACTTCAATGTAAAAGAAATTAAACTTGATCAGATATAAGAAACGACTGGCTATTTCCTCAAACAACAGGAAAGTTAATGTTGAAATATTGACTGAAATAAAAATTTATCCTTACTAGCTAATTTAATTCTACGTTTTCCAGCATATATTGTATTTAGAGTAAAGAAATTAGTTTATATTGATGGGATCTTCAAATGTCTTCTCACTTTGTGTAACAGTTTGTTTAATTATGGATAATATATAAAAATCTCGAAACTTGGCAACTTAGCGTCAACAAAATCAATATCATTTGGAGTATATTATATAGATTGAAATATAATAGATTAAAAATGACCAAAGATTTTATATTGAATAATTCGTATTACAAACTAGTGGGGTGTATGGCATCGTGCCTTAAGGCAAATTGCTGGAACTTCCCGTACCGTAACGAAATCTTAGAGGAATACTGAATGTTTTCAAATAGATTATTATTAATATTGTAACATTGTCTAATATTTATAAGAATTATATAAAGTGAATTGCAAAGCTGAAGTTATTTGTTTAAAGTATAATAGAACTATAGTCAGAATTAAAAATAAAATCTGAATTATTTTCGATATACAAAAATTTTTTTTTTTGGAAAAAAAAATTGAAACAAATTTTTTTTTTCCAAACTCAATTATTTTGTTAAAACAAGCTGAAAGTTCTTTGAATCATTTAAATTGGACGCTTAGTTCTCTCAAAAACTGCCATTTTTTACACATTTAGCTCCGTATCTTCGAATGGCTGGGCCTGCCTTTGCCAAAAACTAATAAACACTTCTTCCAATCATTACTAATTGAATGTTTTTTAGATCATTCAACTCGAATGCTCCGTTTTCTCAAAAACTCGATTTCTATTTTCTGCACTTTTTGGTCTTTATCTCCGTAACTGCTCGACCTGCCTTTGCCAAAAACTAATCAGCTCATCTCCCTAACAATAGGAATCGAATGTTTTTTAAACCATTCAAATCGGTTGATCCGTGCGCCCGAAAACATTTTTTCTGAGGTATGCCAAAATGTTCAGAAACCTTCGAAACGACGAGAAATGTAAAAATTTTCAATTTCGATTTTCGGCCCTATAATAGTTAGAAATTTAATAAAATATTATATTCAAAAAAAAAAATGTTCATTGTACAATCAGTTTCATTGCGTGACTTTTCGGATAATGGTAATCAATAATTAAATTGTAATTAACATGAATATTAATCTAAATTGGGGAATGCTATCATTAAACTTGACCGATCTGCTAATAAAAAAATTGTTTATTACAATCAAAACCCATTGAGCATTTTCATTTTGAAATTAATTCACACGGGATCTTGCACTGCAAATAAGATTTATCTAATATCACTTGACTCGATTCAACTTTGCACAACTAAATTCAATTGAACTTTTGCAACACTTGCTTAATAATTCTATGAAATTGTCTAGATCATGACAATCACGAATGGTATTATTTGAATTGTAGAGATATTTCGTAGAAGAACTAGTGCTAAAAATGCAAATTTAATCATTTGTTTACAATGATAAAAACAAATTAGTTCGTTTAACCGTTTTGCTATTTTTTAAACTTCGTTCATGAATAAAATATTTGCATAAGTAGTATTTTAAAATGTGAATGAATGAATATTATGCATTTCAAGCACATCATGATTTATACAAATCTTAGTCATATAACCCACATAAATTATATTTTCCCAAATATTTTTCTTTATCCAAACGCATATAAAAATAAAATATATTCCAGTTACAATTCGCAAAAATCCAGTGAAACGTAGTTTAAAATATTTACATAAAAGAGCATCGAAACTGTTCCACCGTTACTGCTCTATTCTGACAAAATATTTATCCCATAAAAATCTATGTAAACATAGTATTATATTTTGTACAAAAATAATTCTGCATAACATATAAATCTTCGACCCAGTCCAAATATTTTTCTAAGAATCATATATTATATTTTTAGAAAGAAAATATTTTTATGTTATTTTGAATTTCATCAAAAAATATAAACCATAACCAGACACCTTTCTTGTCATATCTAATTATAACTTTTAATTTGTTTTCGGTGGCAGCAAGAAATTTAAAGCCATTTCATTTGGAATATAATTAATATTACTTTATGATGGTATAATAACATTCATATCAGTTTCATTGCGTGACTTTTCGGATAATGGTA